ATATTTTTTCCTTTTATTTATATTAATATTAGAAGGCACTTTTAACGATTATTTTATGTTTACAACGTTCTTCTCTAGTTGTTCTGAGACCTGTGTATTCTGTTTATTAACTTTCTCCTGTCTCATCTCAGGGCCTGTTTCTCTTCTTCTTTAATACTTAATATTTCTGATTTTTATGTAAGTATATTAGTACATCATTAGCGACTACGATAAGATTATTAAAAATTTATCTTCTTGTTACACTATTATGCTTACTCCTTTTAGGGCCTGTATTCCTTTTTCGGATATGGTGGAACTTTTAATGAAGTCCTCGTTTATGAAACACCATCCACGAAAATGAAGCCCCACGGTCAGTCTTACCGCAAAATTTATTAGGTAAAGTACCTTGATGCAGTGTGATTAGATACAAAGTGTGCTTCATACTTCTCGTTCTCACGTTCTCGTTCTCCCACTACATGTCCTATTTCCTGGGTCACGACCATTTGGTCACTCGCTCAACCAAGCAAATCGTATCTAAAAACACCTTTACATTAAGCATATAATTTACTTATTTTCTTCTACCACTTACTTAACAAATATTTATTATATTTGCTTTTCCTTTATTCCAGCAAACACATCTATGTATCTTCAAGCCAGGCAAGAGAATTAAACTAAATTTTAATGTATTTTTTTACTATATTTTATTTAATAAAAATTACATTTAATCCACAAACTCACATTCCCTCTGCATCGCAGAATTTCTAATATATTTAGCAAAAATGATATTTTATTTCTTTAAGCACTACTTTATCTTGGACACCGAACAATTACTTTGCACAACTTGACTCAACCTTATCGTTAGTTAAGTTTTTTTTCTTTTTGTACCCCATATCTCTTCCCAAGCTAACACGCCATATTTTAACCATTTGTCTCTTGAGTCATTGCCCCAAAAATCATCATATCTGCACTCTCAACCTCATACCTGGTGGAGCCACCTGCTTCACCGCCATCTATCTTCATTGCTACACTCTATCTTACAACTTTTGTGTTCCCTTAAATGGTAATTGAATTTATTAAGTTATTTTTTATATTTACCCACTCTCTTGCAGGCACGAATAATAATAGCCTAGCAAGCAAGAAATAAATTTGAGCCCTCATACCGACTATTATTAATATAGAATATCAACACAAACTTTCGTAAAGCTCCACATCTGTTTCATTATATCACCACAACCGCCGTGTTCCCATCCTAACTCTGTTGTGCAGATCCACTTACAATACCCTACAGCTCATCTTTAAATTCCCCTCCCCTTTTCTGAACTGTGGCCACCACCCATCTTTTCAACGTAAACACGGATTGCTCCCGTGCCTCCGACGAAGACCAATCTCCCCCTCCGGAAACCCCCATTGAAGTTCATGCAACAAGTTGTTCAACCTCCTTATTGTACCATGATTAGAACGTTAATTAAAATTCCAAAATACATTTTTACACAAAATTCCTGGTTTGAGCTTTTTTCTTTGTTTTTTTTTATCTTTGCTTCAATTTATCATTCGTAAGGCCAGATTGTTTAGTCTTCACAAATAAATAATTTTTGTTGGAAGAAAAAATTTGTTTTCAAAAAAATGATGTGGCAACACTTTGTAAACAATTGGCTTATTCAATTGTGAAACAAATAAAATTTGCTAGTTATTTTAAAAACAAAGATAAAAAAACAAGTAAAAAAAACATTAAGTTCGGCCGGGCCAAACTTTTAATACCCTCCACCTTAGGGTAAAGGAAACATTAGAAGAAATGTGGCAAAAACCATTAAAATGCCGAATATCGGGAGGTACCGTTATATGGGGGCTATACCACATCGTGGACCTACACATCAACGTTTCGCCAACGGAGCTAAAACCCATTATGACCTACAAATACCAATTTTCAGACAAATACGTGAAAAAAATGTTGCAAAAATCATCAAATTACCGAATATTGGGAGTTACCGTTATATGGGGGCTATACCAAAACGTGGACCTATAATTACAACGACTCGCCACACGAACTGGGACCCATTATGATCTACAACTACCAAATTTTCAGAGAAATTCGTGAAAAAATGTGTCAAAAATCATCAAAATACCGAATATTGGGAGGTACCGTTATATGGGGACTACACCATAACGTGGACCTATACATACAATGTTTCGCCACACGAACTAGGACCCATTATGACTCACAAATACCAATTTTTAGACAAATCAGTGAAAAAATGTGGCAAAGACCATCAAAATACCGAATATCGGGAGGTACCGTTATATGGGGGCTATACCAAATCATGGACCCATACATGCAATGTTTCGCCACCGGAGCTGGAACCCATTATGACCAACAAATACCAATTTTTAGACAAATCCGTTAAAAAAAATGTGGCAAAAATAATCAAAATATCGAATATCGGGAGGTACCATTATATGGGGGCTATACCAAATCATGGACCCATACATGCAATGTTTCGCCACCGGAGCTGGAACCCGTTATGACATACAAATACCAATTTTTAGACAAATCCGTGAAAAAATGTGGCATAAATCATCTAAATACCGAATATCGGGAGGTATCGTTATATGGGGACTATACCAGAACGTGTACCGATATATCTCATTTTCAATACCAACCATCCTAGGCACAATACCATGCTAAATTTTGGCGCTCTACGTCAAATAATGTGAGCTGTATCGTGATTTCAACAGACAGACAGACAGACGGAAATCGTTAAATCGACTTAGAATTTTATGCTGATTATGAATATATATACTTTATGGGGTCAACGACGATTATTTAAGGATGTTACAAACGGAATGACAAAGTTAATATACCATCCTTTCCAAGGTGGAGGGTATAATAATTTAAATTGTGTAACTGTTATTAAAGCATCTTTTTTAATACTTGAAAGTATTTTAGAAGTGGTTTAAAGTTACAAGTTCTCTTAAAAATACAATTTCACTTGCAAAATCCCAAGAAAATATATCCAATATCTATAGTTAAAAGACTTGTGGAAGAATCAGAAAACATACAAGTTCAAACCTCCCCTGCTAATAAAACACTACTGGCTAAATCGCTAATTGAAAAATCAATAATATATATAAAAATGCATCTCCTGATCCATAAATTGAAGTCACTTGTTTTGAATAAAATTAGAGACGTTATTTCTTACTCTATATATAAAATTCAAACGAAAAAAAAAATAAGAAATATTGAAGATATTATTCGAGAAAAATTTCAAAGCATTAACAATATTGCTCCAATAAATTACTATAGCTATTACCCAAAAACAGTTTTTCAAGATATGTATACTTTACATACGGTCGTGCCAAATACAAATTTACTGTTATTTATTTCAAACCGAAGTAGTTGTCAATGTGTTTACCGCTCAGGAAACACCAAGCCACTCTACATTTATAAAAAACAATTTAGTTAAATTATATGCCCAAAGTAGGGAATTGAGGGATGTAGGTAACAACCAGGAATAGGTAGTACAGGCTGCTACCATGATAATGAAGTTCGAAGGAAAAATGACCTGTATAGGGACAGCGACAATGTAATAGATTTGTGTAAAATTCATAAAAAAAATTGGAAGGGATACATTCAAGCAGTGGTCGTTCCACAAAAGATATATTATATATAAAAGAACATTCCAACTGCTAGCTGCCGGAAAAAATATTAAAAATAAACCAGAACACCATTTTCATGGAGGCAAATGGGAACATACTGAAAAAATTTGATGAGTCCCAATGGTGGCTCACATTACATCTGACCCTAAAAAAGTCGGAATACTGTTCCCAGTTGCCGAAGCTTTTCTACGTAGCTACTACATAAGGGATATTCTCTTCTTCATTATATCATTTCATTAAAATTAATCGTTAAAAACGTACTGCGAACAGTACGGCATATGGATTTGGATTGGAGTATATCGCAGATTTAATTATTTACTCCCCAACACGAAACCAAGGTATCTTAAAAGGATAAGGATGATATCCTTATGTAAGGAGGAACTTGTATCATTAACAGACGACTTTGACGAGGGGAAGGAAAAAAAATGAGCCGTTTAGCCCGTTACCAAATAATGTCAAAACCCCTTTTATAAAAGAGGTAAAAACATTTGAATTTCAATTAAACAGGAAATAGAAAAAATATGTACTATTGTGAGACATTTACCGTTATGATGACAAAAAATATATGCTGTATGCTTCACTTTGGACCAACATTGTTGGAAAATGCATAGTATGAAAAAACTAGGATATCTAACAGCACAGTTTAGGAATATTTCTACTTGTTAAAAAATGGGATATTTAAAAAAGATCGAAATTCTGGCATCAGGATATATTCGTGAGTCATACAAAGCAGTTAAAAAAAAGTGGAAAACATTTTTCGAAACTCATAGATTCAGAAAAGAAAGAGTGAATTTAAAGATGTAAAAATTCAAAATGATGCACTCCTTGATAAATATCAAAGCATCCATAGAAAACGAAAAAATATTAACAATTTTGTAATGATGAGATTCAGTAAACTTCATTTCAATGAGTAAAGACTTAAAGGCTAAAAGTTTAAAACTTATAACTAAAACAAATAGTTTTCATGTAATTTAAAAAAATTAACTAAACTAAACAAAAGTCAAAAGAAAAACAAGTCTTAAATAAGTTCCCAAAAACAAAAAAGAATCTGTAAGATAAATATCCGGATCAGGAAAATTGGAGTCTACGAGCCACACCATCGCTCATCTAATCCATCGAGAGAAGCGCAGCTAGGTATCTTCCCAAGTGGCAACTATTAAACTCCCGGCAGACAGATGGACGACGAAGCCAAATAATTAAATTCTGCGGTTTTTATGAAAAGAAAAGTAGAGAAAAAAATATAAATACAAAACTGAGCTCATTTCAAGGTTAAGTAACCAGGCTTCATTTCGTTCCTCGATTAAATGTGCTATCGAGACGATTCGACACGAAACCTAGCTGTTCTACAAGCTTTCAGAAGGATAAGGATGATATCCTTGAGTAAGGAGGAACTTGTATCCTTAACAGACGACTTTGACGAGGAGAAAGAAGAAGCTGAGCCTGTTAGGCCGTTACCAAATAATGCCAAAAGCACCTTTTATTAAAGAGCTAAAAACATTTACATTTCAATTAAACAGGGTATAAAACAGGAAGGAGGAAAAATATTTACCATTGTGAAGCACTTGCCTCTATTTTTATAAAAAAAAATATAAATGCGTATGCTCCACTTTGGACCAACATTGTTAGAAAATATATAGGCCGAAAAAAACTAGGATATCTAACAGACCAGTCGAGGAATATCTTTACTTGTTAAAAAATGGAATATTTGAAAAAAGAGCGAAATTCATCCATCACGATACACATACTCGTGAGTCGTAAAAATACAAAGTAGCTAAAAAACGAAGTGGAAAACATTTTTCCGGAACTCACAAAGTCGGAAAATAAAAAAGAATTAGATGAGGACACTTGGAACAAAAAATAAAACAGAATTTCCAAATAAATATTGTTAACAAATATGATACACTCCTTGATAAATATCAAAACCTTCAAAGAACATGAAAACATCATAACAATTTTGTAATGCTGAGATTCTGTAAACTTTTAAATGTCAAGAGATACCTTGGTAGAAGAATACAGGTATTTGCATCAACGCTTGGGAACATTGATATGTCAAAAATTTTTCGCAACCTTGAACAAGGGAAACCAAGACAAATACAGATTCATATCATGGCTGTCATAGAAACCAATTTTGTCACTGTTGGTTTTAAAAACGACAAGAAAAAATGCTTTGGTGTCATGAAAATCAATGTTATCGGTTTTGTTTTCGAATTAGAATTTTATCGGTTTTGGTTGTCATAGAAGCCAATGTTATTGGCTTTGTTATTGGAAATAAACCAAGTTGCTTAGAGCTGTCACTTTTCATTTGCTCGCTTTGGGATATGTTGTAAAAATGTAAGTAAATTGATTTATTTTAATATTTGCTTAAAAAATATATATTTTCGCATTGATGTTTTTATTTTGTATGGGAATGCATAAAAATAGTACCCAAAATAAAATTATCCTGGAGTTTATGGAGAATTATCCAGACCTAGCAAAGGGGTTCACAAAGTGTGATAAGCCAAAAGTGGATGCCCTATAGCAACAAGTGTCAGAATCACTAAATAGTGCAGGTCCACCACAAAACAATGTTAACGGATGGAAGAAGGTAAACAACTTTTGCCACAAAACTAAGATTGTTAATCTGTAGTTTTTATTTTTATAGAAATGGACTGAGTGGCAAAACGAAGTGAAAAGAAAGATGGCGCAAAATAAAGCTGAATCTAGGGCAACTGGCGGTGGACCGTACGCAAAACATCAGTTGACACCTAATGAAGAGGTTATAGTGCGTTTATGTGGCATTGCGCAGTCAGTAGAAGGTGTGTCCGGCATTGCACTTGGTCTCACGGAAGATGTTGATGTTTCAGTTGAGGAAGAAATGCCCTCAACATCTTCAAAGCGCCCATTGGTTGCAGTTAAAGACGAAATGCCATCAACATCTTCAAAACGCCCATTGATTTCAGATGTTCCCACAAGTGCTCCAAAAAAGTTAAGAAAAGAAAATAACAGCGACAGTTTAAAAAAAAAAATTTTAGATGACCAAAGTGAAATCAATTTGGAGTTAAATGCAAATGTTAAGGAGATGGTAAAAATAGAGCAACAAAACGCAAGCAGTCTAAAGCGCACTTATAGGGCTATTGAAAAAGGAAATGAGTTAGTCGCGAGGGCAGTCAACGATTTAAAAACAGAGTTTGTCCGGTATAGTGAAGGAATTTTAAATTGCAAAAAGGAAAAATTGGAAATAATGAAGAGACAATTGGATATGGAAACGAAAAAGTTAGTGTTCCAAGAAAACAAAGAAACCCTAAGGAACCTGTACCAAAAAAGAAATGAATTTAGTGCCTATATTAGTTTAGTTTTAACATATGTACATAGAATATACCTTTTAATTTTGTTATTTAATGTTTAATTTTTATGTTTTATTTTTGTTAACCAATGAATAAAAGACTGAATTTATCAAATGAAAGTTTCACCCTTTTTTATTTAGCTATAAACTGTTAGCTATTTCATCCCTAATTCTTTGACCTTCACTTTGTTGTGAAGTTGATGATTGCAACACAACGTTCAACGTTCATGCAACAAGTTGTTCAACCTCCTTATTGTACCATGATTAGAACGTTAATTAAAATTCCAAAATACATTTTTACACAAAATTCCTGGTTTGAGCTTTTTTTCCTTGTTTTTTTATCTTTGCTTCAATTTATCATTCGTAAGGCCATATTGTTTATTCTTCACAAATAAATAATTTTTGTTGGAAGAAAAAAATTTGCTAGTTATTTTAAAAACAAAGATAAAAAAAAACAAATAAAAAAAAAATTAAGTTCGGCCGTGCCAAACTTTTAATACCCTCCACCTTAGGGTAAAGGAAACATTAGAAGAAATGTGGCAAAAACCATTAAAATGCCGAATATCGGGAGGTACCGTTATATGGGGGCTATACCACATCGTGGACCTACACATCAACGTTTCGCCAACGGAGCTAAAACCCATTATGACCTACAAATACCAATTTTCAGACAAATACGTGAAAAAAATGTTGCAAAAATCATCAAATTACCGAATATTGGGAGTTACCGTTATATGGGGGCTATACCAAAACGTGGACCTATAATTACAATGACTCGCCACACGAACTGGGACCCATTATGATCTACAACTACCAAATTTTCAGAGAAATTCGTGAAAAAATGTGTCAAAAATCATCAAAATACCGAATATTGGGAGGTACCGTTATATGGGGACTACACCATAACGTGGACCTATACATACAATGTTTCGCCACACGAACTAGGACCCATTATGACTCACAAATACCAATTTTTAGACAAATCAGTGAAAAAATGTGGCAAAGACCATCAAAATACCGAATATCGGGAGGTACCGTTATATGGGGGCTATACCAAATCATGGACCCATACATGCAATGTTTCGCCACCGGAGCTGGAACCCATTATGACCAACAAATACCAATTTTTAGACAAATCCGTTAAAAAATGTGGCATAAATCATCTAAATACCGAATATCGGGAGGTATCGTTATATGGGGACTATACCAGAACGTGTACCGATATATCTCATTTTCAATACCAACCATCCTAGACACAATACCAATTGCTCTGCTAAATTTTGGCGCTCTACGTCAAATAATGTGAGCTGTATCGTGATTTCAACAGACAGACAGACAGACGGAAATCGTTAAATCGACTTAGAATTTTATGCTGATTATGAATATATATACTTTATGGGGTCTACGACGATTATTTAAGGATGTTACAAACGGAATGACAAAGTTAATATACCCTCCTTTCCAAGGTGGAGGGTATAATAATTTAAATTGTGTAACTGTTATTAAGGCATCTTTTTTATGCCTATATATATATATGCCCAAAGTAAGGAATTGGGGGATGTAGGTAACAACCAGGAATAGCTAGTACAGGCTGCTACCATGATAATGAAGTTCGAAGGAAAAATGACCTGTATAGGGACAGCGACAATGTAATAGATTTGGGTAAAATTCATAAAAAAATTGGAAGGGATACATTCAAGCAGTGGTCGTTCCACAAAAGATATATTATATATAAAAGAACATTCCAACTGCTAGCTGCCGGAAAAAATATTAAAAATAAACCAGAACACCATTTTCATGGAGGCAATGGGAACATATTGAAAAAAATTGATGAGTCCCAATGGTGGCTCACATTACATCTGACCCTAAAAAAGTCGGAATACTGTTCCCAGTTGCCGAAGCTTTTCTACGTAGCTACTACACAAGGGATATTCTCTTCTTCATTATATCATTTCATTAAAATTAATCGTTAAAAACGTACTGCGAACAGTACGGCATATGGATTTGGATTGGAGTATATCGCAGATTTAATTATTTACTCCCCAACACGAAACCAAGGTATCTTAAAAGGATAAGGATGATATCCTTATGTAAGGAGGAACTTGTATCATTAACAGACGACTTTGACGAGGGGAAGGAAAAAAAATGAGCCGTTTAGCCCGTTACCAAATAATGTCAAAACCCCTTTTATAAAAGAGGTAAAAACATTTGAATTTCAATTAAACAGGAAATAGAAAAAATATGTACTATTGTGAGACATTTACCGTTATGATGACAAAAAATATATGCTGTATGCTTCACTTTGGACCAACATTGTTGGAAAATGCATAGTATGAAAAAAACTAGGATATCTAACAGCACAGTTTAGGAATATTTCTACTTGTTAAAAAATGGGATATTTAAAAAGATCGAAATTCTGGAAAACATTTTTCGAAACTCATAGATTCAGAAAAAAGAGTGAAGTTAAAGATGTAAAAATTCAAAATGATGCACTCCTTGATAAATATCAAAGCATCCATAGAAAACGAAATAATATTAACAATTTTGTAATGCTGAGATTCAGTAAACTTCATAAGAATTTCAATGAGCAAAGACTAAATGTATAAAACGTATAACTAAAACAAATAGTTTTCATGTAATTTAAAAAAATTTTAACTAAACTAAACAAAAGTTAAAAGAAAAACAAGTCCTAAATAAGTTCCCAAAAACAAAGAAAATCTGTAAGATAAATATCCGGATCAGGAAAATTGGAGTCTACGAGCCACACCATCGCTCATCTAATCCATCGAGAGAAGCGCAGCTAGGTATCTTCACAAGTGGCAACTATTAAACTCCCGGCAGACAGATGGACGAAGAAGCCAAATAATTAAATTCTGCGATTTTTATGAAAAGAAAAGTAGAGAAAAAATACAAGTACAAAACTGAGCTCATTTCAAGGTTAGATAACCAGGCTTCATTTCGTTCCTCGATTTAATGTGCTATCGACATAACTACTTTTGTTTTTCCTTTCCTGGAATTGAAAAGAAAACATAATTTCTTAAACCTGGAATATAATAAAAAATTTTAACTCTAACGATTCGACATACTTACTCGTTGGAAAGAACCTCAACTATTAGCTCGGAGTGAGGGCTATCTCCTGGTTGGTCAGTCACCAGAAGTGTTGTTTCAATGTGGAGCTCCATTTTGTAACAACCGTGTTCCAAGAAAATCAACGAAAATCGCTGTGTTGGTCTTTAAGTGGCGTTGCCGTTATGCTGGCGTTTAACGCGAAAAAAGAACAAATCCGTGACAAAAGAAAAGTGGCATCAATCATAAAAATACCGAATATCGGGAGGAACCGTTATATGTGGACTATACCAAAACGTCGACCGATATATCTCATTTTCAATACCAACCATCCTAGACACAATACAAATTGCTCTGAAAATGACAGAATGACAAAGTTAATATACCCTCCTTTCCAAGGTGGAGGGTATAAAAATATCAATGTTACGCAAAATGTGTATTCTTTACATACGGGTGTGCCAGATACAAATTTACTGTTAATTTACTTCAGACCGAAGTAGTTGTCAATGTGTTTGCCACTCAGGAAAAACCATGCCAGCCTACATTTATAAAAAAAACAACATGTTAGAGGTGTACGTAGAGATATCGCCAAATTAGAAATTTTAAGTATAAAAGCAGTCACTTGAAGAATGTAAAATTATATGCCCAAAGTAGGGAATTGAGGGAAGTAGGTAACAGCCAGGAAATGCTTACATAAAGTGCTACTAGAATGTTGAAGTTCGAGGCAAAAAATGACATGTATAGGCACGATAATGATATATATTTGTTCAAAATGCATAAAAAAAACAATTGAAAGAAATACATTCAAGCAGAGACCATTTCACAAATGATATATATAAATATACAAAAGAACACCTCAATTTACTGCAGGTTGGCGGCAAAAAATATTTAAAATAAACCGGAACACCCTTTTCATGGACGCAACTGGGAACATATTAAAAAAAATGATGAGTCCAGCAAACCGGAGCGGCTCACATTAAACCGGACCCTAAAAAAGTCGGAACACTGTTCCCAGTTGCCGAAGCCTTTCTATGTAGCCACTACACCTCCTTCCTTATATCATTAAAGATGTACTGCGCACAGAACGGCTTAGGTTGGCTTTTGTCTAAAATGATATGCTCTAATTGAAGTATATCGCAGATAAATGGCATTAGAGCACAAAATAACATCGATCGCCGACGACGTTTCCGTATGTTATACAGCATGCACACAATATTGTCAACCAAAATTTATTGTAGTGTAAACCATATTGTGCATATCTAATATGAAATTTGATTAAAGACGTTAATAAAATGAAGAAGGATGAAAAGCTAGCAAGTTTTTTAAAGTGGCACATCTGTTTTGCTGTGAATATAAGTAGCATGCCACAACTAAACGTTTGGTTGAAAAATGTATTTGCTCCACAACACGAAACCTAACTGTTCTACAAGCTTTCAGAAGGATAAGGATCATATCCTTGAGTAAGGAGAAACTTGTATCCTTAACAGATGACTTTGACGAGGAGAAAGAAGAAGCTGAGCCTGTTAGGCCGTTACCAAATAATGCCAAAAGCACCTTTTATAAAAGAGCTAAAAACATTTACATTTCAATTAAACAGGTTATAAAACAGGCAGGAGGAAAAATATTTACCATTGTGAAGCACTTGCCTCTATTTTGATAAAAAATATAAATGCGTATGCTCCACTTTGGACCAACATTGTTGGAAAATATATAGGCCGAAAAAATAGGATATCTAACAGACCAGTCGAGGGATATCTTCACTTGTTAAAAAATGGAATATTTGAAAAAGAGCGAAATTCATCCATCACGATATACATACTCGTGAGTCGTAAAAATACAAAGTGGCTAAAAAACCAGGTGGAAAACATTTTTCCGGAGCTCACAAAGTTGGAAAATAAAAAAGAATTAGATGAGGACACTTGGAACAAAAAATAAAACAGAATTTCCAAATAAATATTGTTAACAAATATGATACACTCCTTGATAAATATCAAAACCTTCAAAGAACATGAAAACATCATAACAATTTTGAAATGCTGAGATTCAGTAAACTTTATAAGAATTTAAATGTCAAGAGTGTCTTGGTAAATGTTTGATATATATTGAAATTGTAAAGCGAATTCAAATTATGTTGACAATAAATGATCAGCTGGTCTTACTTGACCTTACAATTGGGCCATGGCATGGTAGAAGAATATAGGTAGACGCATCGACGCAGCTGCTGGGACAATGAAATGTCAAACCTATTTTGGAATTGAAGATGTTGAATGAAATTTTTTTCGAATTTGTAAAAATTGTTGAAAAACGCATTTTATAATAACCTCCGAATTATGTCGTATAAGAAAACATATAAAAAGCTATTTATATTTGAAAATAAATTAAAAAATTTTTGACATATCAATGCTCCCAAGCGTTGATGCATCTACCTGTATTTTTCTACCATGGGCCATGGTCTATCCCAATTTTACATTAGTTTATTATAATGTTATTGAAAAAAAATTACCTCGTTGAACAATGAACAATTATAATCTTCTTTAAGCTGTCAATTTGTTGAACGCATTCTTGCCAAAAGTAACCTAAAAACTTTGAAATTCAACATAATTTTAGGACATATATTTAGAAAATGTTAATGGACAATGCAGATGATAAGTGCTCGTATTGTTTGCATTGTGGGTTGATTGTGGGTTGAGAAGAATATAGGTAGGTGCATCAACGCTTGGGAACATTGATATGTTTTATCAAAAATAAGTATATTTTAAATGTTTTCTTATACGACGAAAATCGATGGTTTGTATAATATAAAATTTTCAACAATTTGTACATATTTCAATAATTTTTCATACAATATTTTCAATTCTAAAATTGGTTTGACAGTTCATTGTCCCAGCAGCTGGGTCGATGCGACTACCTGTATTCTTCTACCATGGTTGATTGCTAAAACAATATAACGACCATCGTATAATTATTACAGGTAGCAGCAAGCAAAGGCTTATAGTAATAGAAAAGGCTTATAGTAATAGAAAAAATCGCCGTTGTGCTTAACAAAACGCCAACTGCGATGGTGCGAAAACGTTTTTCGCGGTTAATAAAGGAGTGACACCCCATTAAGCAAAATAGACGTATATTTTATGTTTCCTAAAATTGCAAAATGTAGAATATTTTATGTGTGTATGTAGTTTGCTTTTGCTAAATATCAAAGCATCCATAGAAAACGAAAAAATATAAACAATTTTGTAATGCTAAGATTCAGTAAACTTCATAAGAATTTCAATGAGTAAAGACTTAAAGGCTAAAAGTTTAAAACTTATAACTAAAACAAATAGTTTTCATGTAATTTAAAAAATTTAACTAAACTAAACAAAAGTCAAAAGAAAAACAAGTCTTAAATAAGTTCCCAGAAACAAAAAAAAAAAATATGTAAAATGTATATCCGGATCAGGAAAATTGGAGTCTACGAGCCACACCATCGCTCTTCTAATCCATCGAGAGAAGCGCAGCTAGGTATCTTCCCAAGTGGCAACTATTAAACTCCCGGCAGACAGACGGACGACGAAGCCAAATAATTAAATTCTGCGGTTTTTATGAAAAGAAAAGTAAAGAAAAAAATACAAAACTGAGCTCATTTCAAGGTTAAGTGACCAGGCTTCATTTCGTTCCTCGATTCAATGTGCTATCGACATATCTACTTTTGTTTTTCCTTTCCTGGAATTGGAAAGAAAACATAATTAATTTCTTGAACCTGGAATATAATAAAAAATCTTAACTCTAACGATTCGACATACTTACTCGTTGGAAAGAACCTCAACTATTAGCTCGGAGGGAGGGCTATCTCCTGGTTGGTCAGTCACCAGAAGTGTTGTTTCAATGTGGAACGCCATTTTGTAACAACCGTGCTCCAAGAAAATACACGAAAATCGCTTTTTTTTTTTCTTTAAGTGGGAAAATGTGCCAAAAATCATCAAAATACCGAATACCGGGAAATACGGCTATATGGGGCTATACAAAACGTGAACCTATTCATACAGTGTTTCGCCAAAAGAGCTAGAACCCATTATGACCTACAAATACCAATTTTCAGCCAAATCCATGAAAAAATGTGGCAAAAATCGTCAAAATATCGAATATCGGGAGGTGCCGTTATATGGGGACTATACCAAAACGTTTACCTATACCTACAATGTTTCGCCACACGAACTAGGACCCATTATGACCTACAAATACCAATTTTTAGACAAATCTGTGAAAAAAGTGGTATAAATCATTAAAATACCGAAATCCGGAGGTACCGTTATATGGGGAATATACCAAAACGTGGACCGATATATCTCATTTGAAATAACAACCATCCTAGACACAATACAAATTGCTCTGCTAAATTTTGACGCTCTACGTCAAATAATGTGGGCTGTATCGTGATTTCAACAGACAGACAGGCGGACATCGTTAAATCGTCTTAGAATTTTATGCTGATTATGAATATATATACATTATGGGGTCTACGGCGAATATTTAGGAATGTTACAAACGGAATGACAAAGTTAATATACCCTACTTTCCAAGGTGGAGGGTATAAAAATATCAAATTTTACGCAAAATGTGTATACTTTACATACGGGTGTGCCAGATACAAATTTACTGTTAATTTACTTCAGATCGAAGTAGTTGTCAATGTGTTTGCTACTCAGGAAAAACCATGCCAGTCTACATTTATAAAAAACATGTTAGAGGTGTACATAGAGATATCGCCAAATTAGAAATTTTAAGTACAAAAGCAGTCACTTGAAGAATATAAAATTATATGCCCAAAGTAGGGAATTGAGGGATGTAGGTAACAACCAGGAACTGGTTACATAAAGTGCTACTAGAATGTTGAAGTTGGAGGCCAAAAATGAAATGTACAGGCACGATAATGTTATATGATTGTGCAAAATGCATAAAGAAAACAATTGAAAGGAATACATTCAAGCAAAGGCCATTCCACAAATAATCACCCCTACTCTGTAAGTCGTCGCCAAAGGCGTCGTCGTCTCAAAGTCGTTGTCACTCGTTGACGTCGGCGTTGTCACATGAATGCAAAATTGGTACTTTGTAAGACGTCACGGCCAGTGACGCCTGCGTATCGATAATTTACCACCAAAAAGTGTAATCCCTAACGAATAAAGAAAATTTTCTTCAATTTGTTTGGTAAAATGATTTATTTTCTTGATGAAAGTTCAAGTTCTAGTGATGAAGAACAGAAAAAAAGCCTTCGTATACAAAGAAAAATTATAAGGCAAAGGTCAGATATATTTAACCTACCACATATCAAGTAAGTTTTATAATTTTTATATTTTGGGTCATGATACATGCCATTCATAAAATATATCATTTATCTACAGGTTTCAAAACCATTTTCGCATCAATAAAGCAGCATTTAAATACTTGCTTGATACTATTGAGCCGAAAATGAAGAAAAGTATTCGGTCAACTTCTGTGTCCACCACAATAAAGTTGGCTACAACTTTACGCTTTTTGGCACAGGGTTCATACCAGTTGAGTGTTGAAAATGACATGCATCTCGGTTTGGCTCAACAATCTGTAAGCACAATTCTGACAGAAATGCTTGACGTTTTGGAGACAGTTATCTGCCCAAGCTGGGTAACATTTAGTATGACCGAGGATGAGAAAGCCGAAGCAAAACTAGCTTTTTTTGAAAAAACAGGGTTTCCAGGCGTCATTGGATGCATAGATGGGACCCACATTAAGATATTTACACCGAAGAAGGAGGAGCAAAGCATTTATTATAACCGTAAAGGATTTTTTAGTTTAAATGCTATGATTGTAAGTAATGAAATTATTTTGTGCAATTAAGATTCTAATTTAAGTTTTACTTAGATTTGCGATCACAAAATGCGGATAAGGTATTTGGATGCTCGACATGCTGGCTCAGCACATGACTCCTTGATTTGGAATATGAGCCACGCCAAACAAATTTTGCGCGAACGTTATGATGGTGGTGACCGTAATAGTTGGATTTTAGGTAAAATGCATCACCATGAGAACAGAATATCAAAAAAAAAAAAAAAACGATTCACAAACCTTGGTTGTCGAACTGAGTACCTTTCAAATAAGAAATTTTTCGTTTTGTTTTCATACTCTACATATACGTACTAATATATGATTTTTATGCAGGTGATGCAGGCTATCCGCTAGAGCCATACCTGATGACGCCATATCGTTCTTCTCAAGAAGGGAGTGCTGAGGCTGTTTTTAACAATAAACATGCCAAAGCAAGAAATATTATTGAAAGAACCATTGGTGTTTTAAAAAATCGCTTTCGCTGTTTGCTCGGCGCTCGTCAACTTCATTATAAGCGTGAAAAGGCAACTAAAATTGCAAATGTTTGCTCAGCATTACACAACATTTGTATTGCATATGGTGTAAATGATCTAAGCGAAGATGTACCTGTACAACTCAGCAATGAAAATGTTGAGAATGAAGACGAAAATATACAAAGTATTGAAGCTTCACAAATACGAGACCAAATAAAATCCACTTTTGTTTAAGTTTATTGATTTTAATAAAAAAAAAATTCATTGTTTATGTATTAAAACTTAAAAAAAAGTTCATTCTTATTTCAAACTTAGAATTAAATTCAGACTCTAAAAAATAAAAAAAATTTAAATGAAATACCTAAATTCATTCTTATAGAATGAAAAAAAATGACTAGGTACTACTTATTAATATTTATGTAAAGCGCAGCTATCACAATTTTTGGCTTCATTGGTCAGATTCATTCAGCTTTTGCAACTTCCTCTTTTTGATTTCCAGCGCAATTTTCTTTATTTCCACTTCGTTTTGGAACAACTCTTCCTCTCTTTCATGTTTTCTTCTTAACAATTCCAATTTCTCTTTCTTAATTTTAATTATTTCCTTTTCGTTTTCATTTTGTCTTTTTAGTAATTTTAACTCCTCTTCCTGAATTTTTTTGGTGTCTTTTAACGTGTTTTTGATTGAGTTCATGGTGCGGGAAATCTCATTCAACACCTTTTCTTGCATATTGTTATGCAGTTCAAGTAAAGTTTCTCTGCTTTTCCTATTATCTTTCTGCTTTCTTTGATTCTTTTTTTGAGTTACAGCACTAGATGACTCCGGCGGGCAGATGTTTTCTTCATCTTCAACGCGCTCGACCAACCAATCTCCCTCACATGCACTTATGTTGCCAGGCTGATGGTGGGTGAATGTCTCATCTGTGGGAAAGTATTCTTCGGCTTCAACATTTGAAGACCGAAGTGTAGACGCTGGTGTTGAGCGAATCTCCTCCTCACCCTGTACCACAGAAAATCCCTGGTCTTTTTTGGCGCCACACACGTAGCCATCAGGAGTTAATTGGCTTTCAAATTTCATTATACTCGCAACTGCCTCTTCCAACGGGGAAAGTTGCAGCTGCTTGTATCTGCCTCCACCTGTTGCATTGCATTCTGCCTTGTTGAAGGCTACTTTCTTTTTACATTTGAATTTTAGATCTCTCCAAACCTAAAACAAAACAAAGAAAGTTTAATTATTTGTGTACATATACTGTTATTCCTTACCTTCTGCCAACCATCACTGTCTCTTGCCGGAGGACCAAAAGCATTCAGTTTTGTTGTAATATCCTCCCAATTTTTTTTAAAATTGGATGGAATAGAGCCTCTGCTGAACCCTTTCGCAAGGCTTGGGTTTTTCTCAAGTTCTTTTATTAAGCAATCAAATTGCGTTCCATTTGTAATTTTTAATTTTTTCTCCATTTTCTTTTTTTTCACCAACTTACAAATCAATAAAAACACAGTTGTTTGTATCAAGGCGTCACAAGGCGTGCAGAAAAACCGTAACGCCCAAAAGTAAGTCGAGTCGACTCAACATGGTTGTATAAACGCCTTAGCGAGTACCAAGTACTCGTCATCTGCTGTCGACACGACTTCAGGGGTGCCAAAATTAACACGGCGACACAAGGCGTCGGCGTTAGCTGTCGACGACGTCTTACAGAGTAGGGGTGAATATATATAAATATACAAAAGAACACCTCAATTTACTGCAGGTTGGCGGCAAAAAATATTTAAAATAAACCGGAAAAACCTTTAAAAAAAAATTGTGAGTCCAGCAAACCGGTGCGGCTCACATTAAACCGGGCCCTAAAAAGTCGGAACTCTGTTCCCAGTTGCCGAAGCCTTTCTATGTAGCTACTACACATAGGATATTTTCTCCTTCCTTATATCATTAAAGATGTACTGCGCACAGCACGGCTTATGTTGGCCTTTGTCTAAAAGGATATGCTCTAATTGGAGTATATCGCATTCAATGCAGAGCACAAAATAACATCGATCACCGACGACGTTTCCGCATGTACATGTATACAGCATGCACACAATATTGTCAACCAAAATTTATTGTAGTGTAAACCATATTGTGCACATCTAATATGAAATTTGATTAAAGACGTTAAAAAAATGAAGAAGGATGAAAAGCTAGCAAGTTATTTAAGGTGGCACATCTGTTTTGCTGTAAATATAAGTAGCATGCCACAACTATACGTTTGGTTGAAAAATGTATTTGCTCCCAAACGCGAAACCTAATTGTTCTACACGCTTTCAGAAGGATAAGGATGATATCCTTGAGTAAGGAGGAACTTGTATCCTTAACAGACGACTTTGACGAGGATAAAGAAGAAGCTGAGCCTTTCAGGCCGTTACAAAATAATGCCAAAAGCACCTTTTATAAAAGAGCTAAAAACATTTACATTTCAAATAAACAGGGTATAAAACAGGAAGGAGGAAAAATATTTACCATTCTGAAGCACTTGCCTCTATTTTGATAAAAAAAATATAAATGCGTATGCTCCACTTTGGACCAACATTGTTGGAAAATATATAGGCCGAAAAAAACTAGGATATCTAACAGACCAGTCGAGGAATACCTTTACTTGTTAAAAAATGGAATATTTGAAAAAAGAGCGAAATTCATCCATCACGATATACATACTCGTGAGTCGTAAAAATACAAAGTGGCTAGGTGGAAAACATTTTTCCGGAACTCACAAAGTCGGAAAATAAAAAAGAATTAGATGAGGACACTTTGAACAAAAATTAAAACAGAATTTCCAAATAAAAAATGTTCAAGGTTTTTTCTAATATAAGTAGATTCTCATATGTTTTCTAATACGACGTCATTCGGAAGTTATTATAATTCGATTTTTTCAAGAATTTCTACAAATTTAAACAATTTTTCATTCAACATTTTCAATTCTAAAATTAGTTTGACAGTTCATTGTCCCAGCAGCTATGTCGATGCCTCTACATATATTCTTCTACCATAGTAAGATAAAAAGAGTTCAAACCATAAGATGGCAACAACGGACTATATAATGCAGTCGTTGCCACATTTATTCAGATCTGCGTAGCCTCCTATAAAGCCCAAAGTAGTTCCCTATATACCACATGCGAAAAAGGCAACATTTTTTTACAATTCTTAGAAAAATATCGTTAATGTTTTATCGTTAATGTATTATAAAATATGAAAAAGTCTATCCCATGACCAAATTATAAGGTCGACCAGAAGGCAAATTCTAAAAAAAAAACAACTCTACCAATTACATTTATTGTCAACATTTATTATTGCGCAACCTTGAACAAGGGAAACCAAGACAAATACAGATTCATATATTTAAAATGTTTTTATATTTTGAAAACTCTTAGGATTTATTATGATCAACGTTACAAAACACAGAAATTCACAAATACTTAATTTAATTTTGAATATCATACTTTTAAAATATCTGACAAATAGGTAAATGTTTGACATATATTGTAATTGTAAAGCGAATTCAAATTATGTTGACACTAAGTGATCACTTGGTATTTTTCTACCATGTATAACAACTTATAAAACCTGCGAACGAACTGTAAATGACGGATGCTTCAAGTATATATAGAGCAAACGTAGTATCTACAACAATCAATCTAATTGTGTACTATGTGATCAATTTGCCTAAGATCTATCTAAAAAAAAAATATATATATATATATATATATATATATATATATATATATATATATATATATATATATATATATATATATATATATATATATATATATATATATATATATGTGGAAGATTTAAGAAGGTAAAGTCTTGCAATTATATGTTTACAATTATTTTTTCCAATTTATTACATCTAATTCTCGATATTTATATTCATAAATCCCTTGCATGCACAGGAATCAGAGATAAGAAACTGTATTTTATTCAGTGAAATTTGACATGCTTAATTACAGAAAATGCAGAGATGGATAGTCTTATTTGAAATGATACAGGGTGAAATGAAAAAAATGCAACCAACTTCAGACTGCTGTCATTTCTAAGCCACTCGTCCGACAGCTGTTAAAATTATTCCAGCGACAGCTCATTATATTGTTTACAAGCGTACAAAGGTATTTGGTGAGAATTTTCCAGAAAAAAGTTATTCGTGATAGAATTCAAGCGTGATTGTATGATTTCTTTATATTTGGCTGGAAAACCAAAAGTGGCTTTCGTTAGAGCACTCCAGCATTTAAATGTGAATAAATTGTTTGTGTCTCGTACCATCGCTCGATACCGTGATACTGGTAGCATAGCCCGACGTCAAGGAAGTGGACGGAAGAAAACAGCAGAAACGGTTCTAAGTGGCTGAAAAATGGCTCGTGACCTGAACATATCTCAATACTCCATTCGGCAAATATGAAAAATGACCTCGGCGTAAACCATTGTAATTCCATAAAGTGCAAGAACTTACACCGCAACAGAAAGAAAATAGACTCAAAAGAGCTAAAGAGTTGCCTCGCTTGGCCGAAAGTGGTGAACTGTCGAATTTGTTTTCCTCCGATAAGAAAACAATCGTTGTCCAGTAGATTGTAAACAAACAAAATGATTGTGTTTACTTGCCATAGAAGTCAGCTGAAAATGTGCCCCTTCGGTTGGCCACCAGAACTCAAGCGCCGGCCATGGTGATGATGTGGGGCGCCATAACAGCCGATGGTCGCTCTCCGCTCGTATTAATCGGCATTCAGAATAAATGCCGAATATTATTGCGAAAATATTATAGAGGGTGTATTAAAGCATTGGGCACGCAAACATTTTGGCTGCATTCCTAAGACATTCCAACAGGACTCAGCATCATCGCACTCAGCACGCGCCACCCAAGAATGGTTACAAAATGAGGTTCCTCGCTTCATTTCCAGCGCACATTGGCCACCAAAATTTTCGGATAACAATCTGTTGGACTATTGCGTCTGGAGAATTTTGGAAAGCAAGGATGGCACTAAAAAAAACCAAAGTGTCGATCACCTCAAGCAAGCGCTTCACCGGGAATAAGCCAAAATACCGCAGAGCATCTTTTGGGCAGCGTGTGGCGTTTCATTGAACGTTTGAAGGCCATAATTCGTGTCAAAGGTGAACAATTCGAACAAATCTAAACTTATTCTAAAATTTGATGCTATTTCCGACATTTTTTGCTTTCATTCAATAAAATTAAAAAAAAATGTAAAAAGTATGGCGTTTGACTTTGTTGCAGTTTTTTTATCTCATCCTATATTTCCATCAGTCTATGCCCCGCTTCATTTTTAAATCGCATATTCTGGGTTTCAAACAGCGTTCGAAAATAAACAGTACACAAACATAGTGTACTGTACCGGTACACTACCACTAAAAAATATTTTAGTGATACTGTACCGGAACACATCGATGATCGTAGTGTACCGCAGTCGGAGCGCTAAAAAATCGTAGTGTTCCGCAGTCGGAACACTAGAACATCGTAGTGTACCGGAGTCGGAGCACTAAAAAACGTAGTGTTCCGCAATCGGAGCATTAAAAAATTGGAGTGTACCACATACACCACATAAAAAACTGATGATAAAACTGATTTTAAACACTCAGACATATCTTTTTAAAATATTTAGTTTTTACACCTACATTTATTGATTTTTCGCTACCACAAAATAGCAGGTAAATTATTTGCATAACCATCACAACGCAACCACTAAAATACCCTTTTTCGCGGAAAAAAATTCAGCTTTTATTTTCATAATATTGAATTTTATAAGTAATTTTTGCATTTTCAAAAACATCAAACTTCTAATTTTTCTCATAAATGCCGGTACATTATTTTTTTAATGTACACTACGATTTTGTTGTGCTCCGACTGCGGAACACTACGATTTCATAGTGCTTCAACTGCGGTACAGTACGATTCTCGTTGTGATCCGGTACATTATCACTAAAATATTTTTTAAGGGTTGTGCTCCGGTACGGTACATTATCTTAGTGTACCACTCCACCTCGGAACGGTACAGAACACTACGGTACAGTACCATACTGTTTATTTTCGAACGCTGGTTTCAAAAGAGGAGTGAAGGTTTTCAAAATTTTTCAACTTTTTAGCGATTTTTATGTAAATTTTAAATTTGTGTTGAATTGAAATACCTTTAATATTTTCCAGGTTTACTACTTATCTTTCTCTCTCTCCCTATTAACCCTTTCTGAACCGGGGAAATGTGTTGGATTTTTATCTTTTCTAATCAAATTTAAATGTTTCTTGACGAACATAATTTTTTGTGGTTGTAAGGTTTTTATACCCTGCACAATGTCTTTGTAACATACAAAATGAGACAATATGTATCCACTGTTCCTTTTGATGATCTGCATATAATTACTTTTAACTTTTTATACATAAAGTTAGAGGAGAATAGAAAAAAATTAATAATTTTTAACATTTTAGTGATTTAAGTACATTCACTCATAATTATAATAACGCAAAATTTTCAATGACGACCCACTGAATGCATGACAAAACAAGTTTTTGATTTTGAAGTAAAGGCTAGTTTTTATTGAATATTCTTTCAGGTCTGTGTTTTTTTTTTCCAAAAATACAAACCTATCTTTTCTTATCTGAAATGTCTAGGTCATTTAAGAAGATAAGTTCAAGATGTCTATTGTATCAAACCGCAACCATGGATGCAAAACAATGAACCTGAAATAAAATAAATATTAATGCATATATATTGTGTTAAACTTTGTATAACAATGTAAAAAACTTCTCTTTAAAATAGCAAAAATGAAAATTAATTCTTAACCCCTGTCACCCTCATCTGCAATGATCGAAACCGACGGCATATTTCCAAGAGACAGACCTGCAAAATAAAATATATTGTTTAAAAGACGCATTTTGA